ACTGCTTGTGCCACACCCTTCTTGCAGAAGTCAACACTTTGACTAAAGAGAAACTAACTTGGCAGGCTGGATTGCTGCCAAGGTTTGTGGAACTTGCTGCCAAGATCCTTATCTGTTTGTTTACTTGGCTTTCAGCCACCGAGATTCTGGTCTTGTTATTAAAGGACATTCCATTTAAGCTTGTCTCGGCTTTCGTTACTGGACGGAGGAAGGGGTCAGAACAGGTTTCCTACCTAGGCAGGGGGTTGGATTAGAAGACCTCCAAGATCGCTTCCAACTCTTCTATTCTATTCTATTCTATTTTGCAATATCCTTTCCCCAAGAGTGGGGAGGGAATGGAGATTTTGCAGAATCCCCCCCTGCCACGCCCACCAAGCCATGCCCACAAAAACAGTAGTAAAAAAAATTGAATTTCACCACTGCCTTGAAGTTTTTGATGATACATGTAACTAGAAGATAAATGTCAGTAGAGGTTTGGGAACTATAATACCGGTGAATAGCTCAGCTCTGACATTTCATATGGAATTAATACCATCATAGACACACTTGCTTACCCTTATCTAGTCCTTGGCTTAAGCTAAAAAGTTGTGATTTGGCTTCTTCGTTATCATTCCTGCTGTGTACAGTACAGTAGATACAGAGAACCTATTGGGTCAGAAGTCAGATTCTTATAGAGCAGTGTTTCTCAACCTTGGCAACTTGAAGATGTCCCCAGCCAGCGAATGCTGGCTGGGGAATTCTGGAAGTTGAAGTCCGGACATCTTCAAGTTGCCAAGGTTGAGAAATACTGTTATAAAGGATTTCTTCCTAGTCCCGCCAAATTACTTTGGGAATGCAACATAAATTCTTAAGCCTTTGTCACACCACTCTAAAAATATCTTGAAAAAGCTATTTAGCATTTGTAAGTCTCTTTCAGAATGTGTCAGGTATTTGACCTCCAGAATCCTTCAGACAGGCGGCAATGCATTTTTTAGCATAATGGAGGGCACCATCTCCACACAAGACATTTGGCATCTCTGCATAAGAGTTTTGCACCAGGCAAAGATTGGTTGTAAACCTCTACAGTTTTCTGAAGGTACATCAGGGTGAAATTACTACCTGTTTGGACCGGTTCGCCCGAACCGGTAGTAAAAATGCTACCCATTCGGCCGAACTGGACAGACCGTTTTTTTCTGACGATCAGCTTTGATGCACAAAGATCCTAGAAAGCAGGATTTAATCTAATCGCGTCCATTTTTCAACTTGACAAGAGTGCTAATGGAGTCTCAAATTCTGGGCTTGAGCCATTATTTTATTCGTAGACATTAGATGCCTTGGAGCATTGTCAGTAACTTCTGCTTTCCCAAAATAGCTATCGTTACTACAAACAGCCATAATCACAACAACTGGGGAAATCTGCCAATTAGTAAATAGAGGACAACAACTTTGCAGTTAAGAAGCCTGCCATGGATGTTGCTCAGAGACAGAAATATATCAGCAAGAAATTAAAATGCTAGCAAAATAGATAAAAATGAGAATGATTGCAATTGGGCTTCCTCCAGTTTTGCAAGGCAGTTGGGAATAAGGATGGTAATGATGTCGAAGTACTCACAAAGCACCTCACCTAAAACCACCATGTAGAATTCATGGTCTGAGTTGAGATTTCAGTTAGACCTTTCATGAACAATTCAGTCCTTTAGCATTATATGCTCCTAACTCATGAAGTAATTAACTTTTTCCAAGGACCACAGGTAGTCTTCAACTTACAACCATTCATTAAATGACCAAAGATACAATGGTCCTGAAAAAAATGACTTATGGCAGTTTTTCACATGACCATTGCAGCATTCCTATGGTCACGTGCTCAGAATTCAGTTGCTTGGCAACTGGCATATATTTGATGGTTGCTTCGTGTGATCACCTTTTGTGATCTGAGAAGCAAAGTCAATGGGGAAGCCTGATTCACTTAATAACCATGTTATTCACAGAGATTCACTTAACAACTGTGGCTAGAAAGATTATAAAATGGAGGAAAACTCAACAACTGTCTTGTTTAGTAACAAAACGTTTGGGCTCAATTTGACCATAAGTTGAGAACTAACTGTATTACAGTTTAAAACAATACTGGTTTCAAGTCAACATTCTCATATTTTGCCTAAAGATGCTTTTCTTCAATAATCCGAGGTATCTTTTTTTAAAAAGCAAACAAACAGCTACTATGCAATAGTAGTGATTCA